TGAGATACCACAGGAGGACATTGAACACCTGATCAGAAGCATGCCTAGGCTAGCGGGGGGGGGGGAGGGGGGGGCGCCAGCGGCGCCTCCCTTCTCAATCCGCCAGTGGGTGCTTCATTGATACAAAGTAGGGACGGCGCTAGGGATACTGGCGCGATGACCATCCTGGAATTGCCGGCACTGGACGCCTGTATAATCCGGTGGTTGGTGATTCCGGTCTCGTGGACGAGACGGAGGGCAACCACCCCAGACCTTCGGCTAACGTGGAAAGGAGCAACGACACCATAGGACCGGGCTTAGATTTCTCACTCATCATCCCTTGGAAGAATGAATGTTAGGTGTGGTTCACTGACGGATCCTTCTCCAAGGAAACAAGTTGGACACTCGTCAAGAAAACCGTAATCAATTTTAAGTCGACTGAACAAGGACTTACCTCTGATGGAGATTAAAGGTGACCTGGAACCATAAGCTATAGCACCCCAAACCATAACTCCAACAGTGTGATGAACATGTCTTTCAACAAAAAACTGTGGATTCCTCCTTTCACCACGTCGCCTTCTAACCCTGGTACGACCATCGTGCATGCCTAAACAAAATCGAGACTCGTCACTAAAGACAATACTGTTCCATTCCTGATCCCAGAGTGACCGTTGTCTGCACCACTCAAGGCGATTACGTCGGTGTTCTCGAGTTAAAGGGAGGACCCGGTGTGGCCGGTATAAAAACAAGCCAAAACTTCTCATTCGTCGGTAAACACTTCGCATGCCAATAGGTCTTCCGTGTTCTGCAAACCATTCATTTGCAATGGACCTGGTAGTGGAGAAACGGTCCCTTAAGGCCAATAATCTTAGGTGGCGATCTTCACGGTCTGTTGTTCTACGGCGGCGTCCAGTGCCCCTTGCTCTTTGCGTGCGGCCTTCTCGAAGCCCTGCCTGACAACACCTAACCACAGTGTCTACACTTCTTTGCACTCTAACTGCAATTGCCCGAAAAGAAAGTCCAGCTTCCCGAAGTCCCACTATACGGCCCCTATCAAACTCACTAAGTTGACAAAATCGTACAGGTCTCCGTACTCTAGGCATCGTAACCGATCGTAAAGGATGTCAAGAACCAAAATCCGCCAACGCTGATTCTTTACTGCGGCTGAAATATTCATTTTTAGAGCGTTAGTGAATTAAAAAATAGCAGTAATAACACCGGAATGTCCAACTGATAAGGCTAAAAATTTTTTCACTTGTTATTTACAGTAAGATAAATACATTCATCAACTTTTATTAAAATAAAACCATTTAAACTGGGTGTTCGGATTTATATGTCACTTAGTATAAAAGCTAGAACAAGAAAAAGAGGAACAGGGAAACAGTGAAAAGAGACGTTTTTGATTCAGAAAAAAAAATTAAGAAAGCTAAAAAAATTGAAAAACGCAAGTCCTGTTCAGATAATGAAAGTGATGGAGGAGAATGTTTTTGCTTGATTTGTCTTGAACCATTTCTAACAGCGCGCCAAATGAAGAATGGTAGAAATGCTCATCGTGTAATGGTTGGTCTCATGATGCGTGCACTGATGGACGCGAACTTTACATATGTCATAACTGCGATATTGACTAATTGTAAAAAAACTCTTCTACTTCTTTCTCATAAAGATTTGGTGTTTAATAAGCATTTTTTCTAATAATAAATATGTTTAAAAGTATGATATCATAAATTATTAATGATCTAAAATACACGTGTTTCTGTATTTTGGAACATTTTAATTTAATATTGTGAATTATTTTACAGCCTTATCGATTTTACATAGAGTTCCCAAAGGATAAACCATATTAGTTATGCACCAAATATGTGCATATAACGCTTCAGATCGAAAAAAAAGTATTACTAGCCCCGGTCTCCCCTAATAATTATTGAGTTGTTACTCAAGTGTTTTGGAAGTTTTTCAAGTACACCACTGATCTTACACGAATGCGTGACTTTCATTTAATAGAGCAATTTAGACTGTACCTCTTGCACTTTTTGCGTATCCAGGATACATTACTTCAACAAATACAAAACTTAAACGTTGTCGTTTCGAAAATGGAGCAGAGTCCAAGAAATTAGAGTTAAGTTGGATTGAAGAAAAAAATACAAACTTAATGAAAAGAATATATTTATTACTATCAAACATATTGGTAAAGTTGGCGGGTTTTATTTCTCAAATATCATTCCGTCCAAATGTTTGCCATCTCTTCTAATTGTGCGCGCCAATTCTGAAACGCTCTCTTGCAGAGTTTCAGAATGATGTTGTTTATTTCTCGTTCAATGTTGTCTTTAAGCTCCTCCAGTGTTCGTGGATTACTGAAATACACTTTTAACTTTAGATAACCACACAAAAAATAATCGCGAAGCGTGAGGTCGGCACGGGTATCATGTAAAAAACCTACAAAACGTCAAAAAAAACCTACATAATGTCAACTTGCATACTATATACTACAACTATTTAAAACTGTAATGACTCACACGCGTGATCAACACGTGATCAGAGCTCGATCCCGGCTTCCTTCCAGTACAGCCGTATAGCGTACGACATATGTCGTTTCTGTGGCTTTGCGGTGGTCAACAGCACAGACAGAGATGGAAATAATGGCTGATTGTTCTCCGCCGGTAGAACCAATGAAATCAAAGACGCGCCTCGACCGGCAGACTCATAGGCGTCGGCAACGCATTGGAACGTGTTTCGTTGAGCGATCGCATATTGTGTGTTTTTATAAGAATTGTTGTGTGATTGTTATTGTTGTGGTTTCTGTGGTTACTGTTTTGGTTATACTTAACCATGGAGAGTACAAATGGCACGAGTGGAAGTACTGAAAGCCAGGGAACAAGTGGACGGCTTCGTAAAGCACTGAAGAGGGACGCGAAAGAAATCGTGCTCAACGTGTTCAATTATCTGAACAGAACTATGTCGCAGGGAGATGCAGTCGCGCGTTGTGAAAGTATGACAGGCGTTCCAGAGTGGACCATTCGCAGGGTGGTGCATGAAAAGAAGAAAACTGGAGCTACTACTGATCCAAAGCTTAATTTGAAGGGACGAAAGGCCGTTAAATTGGATGACGATAGCAAAATGGCGTTAAGGCGAACCGTACATTCATTCTTCTTTAGGAATGAGATACCAACCCTCAAGGCTGTACATGCAGCGATCAAGGAAAATGAAATTATACCCCAAATGAGCGTCGAGGTAATGAGGAAATCCCTGCACGAAATTAATTTTCGTTACGAAACGCGTAATCGGAAGTCAGTATTGATAGAGAGACCTGAAATAGTCGCCTGGCATCGAAATGATTGAATATAGCCGACAAAGCAGAAAAATCTATTATTTGGACGAGACATGGGTAAATGCAGGTCACACAGTTAAAAAAACCTGGATAGACAAAAACGTAGTGAGTAACCGACAAGCAAGCATTGAAGGTTTGTCAACAGGTCTTCGTGGACCGTCAGGGAAACGTCAAAGATTGATCATAACTCATATTGGTAGCGATAGTGGCTTTTTAGAAGAGTGTGACTTGATTTTCGTCTATAAGAAAGGAGGTGATTACCATGACGAAATGAATGCCAGCTGCTTCGAGAGCTGGTTTCAAGGGGTGCTTCAGCGAGTTGAGCCCAACTCTGTGATCGTCATGGATAATGCTTCCTACCATAGTCGTCGAGCCGAACGTGTACCGACTATGGGATCTCGAAAAAGTGACATGCAGCAATGGTTGCGCGAAAAAGGAATCCCGTTTGACGATTCATGTGTGAAAGCGGAATTGTATGAAAAAATTAAACAGCACAAACCTGCGAACATTAGTTACGTGACTGATGAGATGGCCCGTCAATGTGGTGTCACTGTGCTGCGGTTACCGCCCTACCACTGTGAACTGAACCCAATAGAGCTCATCTGGGCTCAAGTGAAGGGTTATATTGCACGCCATAACACAACCTTCAAATTACCAGACGTTAAGGTTTTACTTGAGACTTCCATACAGCTAGTAACGCCCGAAGCTTGGCAGAATGCTATCCGTCATGTTGTGAAGGAAGAAACAAAAATGTGGCAGCTCGACCACCACATCGACACCATCATAGAGCCAGTTATAGTCAATTTCAACGAGGAAAGCGATAGCGACAGTTTATTACTGTCAGATGTAAGTGGAAGCGACGATGAATAAAGGTAATTCCCAAATTTTTGACTTACAATATGTTTCAAACCACTCTTTATTAAGCATGTGACAAATCTAGTTCACCCATGTTAAACATTCATACCCCGCCTATGAACAGCCGACTACTGGTAGTTAAGTAATGTTCACGTGAACATCGATGAGTCATTACAGTTTTAGATAGTTATAGTATAGATAGTTTTTAGGGTGCAAACAGTCGTTCCACGTTTGCTCACCGGGATCGTTGTAAGCGCGATCCATCTATGAACGAATATCTGAACGATACGAGACACTTTTCTCTAACCAAATATGCATTATTGTGCATGACTGGTTGCAGTGACCGGAGAGCCACTTAGTTCTTAATTCATAGTGTGGTTCATTGACCTCAATGTGTACGTAGATTTAAAATGTGAAAAACGAAAGTTTGGTTGAGTAGCAAGACCGCATCTGGATGATTATATTGATCTGCATGTGTATAAAATCAGTGATATTTGCTGTGTGAGAAACTCATTACTGAATATGACGGGTTATTTATATGTTGTGCTTTCTGAAGAGAGGTTATGTTCAAAGTTATAAATTACGAAAAACTGAGGAGAATTACGGGAAATCATCATCGCGCCAGCATATATATGGCTTGTAATTCGACAGTGTACAGTGAAAACCCATTTTTTATTTGATTATGCCAGTGTGCCCTAGGGATTCCCAACGCAGCGGAATGGCCTAATCACTTACTCGACGCATATTTTGAATGGGCTGGCTGAGAGTAGAGCCTGTTGCACGGAACCTCTCGATCCACTTTTTCAACAGATGCTTACTTGGTCGGCGAATGTTGTATCGTGTGAATCACAACTCTTAAAGTAAGCGTCGATAGCGAAAGCACGTTGCGCTCCGGTCCATCGTTCCATCGTGACTATTTAACCCGCACGCCGAACGCGTCGATCAAGATCTCTCCGCACTTCGCGTGTACGGTCGCCGCGTAATTCAAATTTGAAACGTGAACTTTGGCCACTGGACACGCTGTAGTTTAAAGGGGCGAAGATGAAGGCGTTTACACCGATTACAGCAATCAACAGTTCAGTTGACAGTAAATCGATCGATTAAGGACACTCAATCGGTGCTGCAGATATCTCATGATCACGATTTTTAAAGAAGCGTTGGTAATAACAAGTTTATTATACTAAAGACAGTGTGTACATTATACACATATCTAAATGTGTCTGTTCTTATAATATCGTAGGAAGAACATTGGAGGATAATTTCTTTCAACTGGTCATTTTTTATCAATTCTGGTCAAAACAGTTCAACAACTGCAAACTCGCGACATCGCTCATAAAAAAGTATACCAGACAAAACATGGAAGCTGTTCTGAAAAGTAATGGTACTACTTCTCCCCTCCCTCCTTATAGTATGTACAGCACATATAGTATCTCTCTTTCTTATTCGACGGCTATGATAGTGTTTTGAATAGCGTCAAGTAGCTTCACTCTCAGTCCTTACGCTACGCCGTCATCTGTTGATAAAAGGCAAGTTACACTCTGAGAGAAAAATGAGTTACGAACATGCACCTATTATACGTGAAAATATACAGGGTATTCCTTGATGATATGCGAATATTGTGTGAATCTACATGAAAAATTAATGTTAGTTTGCTTTATAAACTGTGGTCCAAAAATGTTTTCTTACAAAAAACTCGAGGTGTTGAAGTTTTAGGAAAACAAGGGAAATTAACTAATATTTTCAGAACCGCTTCAGATATTTCACTGATATTTGGTACGTAGTGAAAGTTAATAAAGCTGAATATTTTTCAATCTAAAAATAATTTTTAGCTTTAACAGTGGCGTGCGTACGGGTATTGACTTCGATATTTTTTAAGAAAAAAATGGTACGCCAATAGTTTTTTGCCAAACAAAAATAATTTTTGAATTCCCCGTTCAATTTAAAACAAATGATCTCTCTTGAATTGTTTTCATTCGATGCGCCGTTTTTGAGTAAAAAAATAAAAACCGTTCTATACCCGAACGCGCGCCACTGTTAAGGCTAAAAATTATTGTTGCGTTGAAAAATATGCAACTTTATTAACTTTCACTACGTACTAAATATCAGTGAAATATCTGAAGCGGTTCTGAAAGAAATAATTAATTTCCATTTTTTTCATAAAACCTCAACACCCCGAGTTTTTGTAAGGAAACATTTTTGGACCATAGCTTATGAAGCACAATAACATTAATTTTTCATATAGATTCACAGCCTTAGATATTCGCATATTAAGGAATACACTGTACAAATATACAGGGTGCTATTTCGCAAGATACAGGGTGTTAAAATTTGTAGGTGGTATTTATAACATTAAGGAGCTAGTTTAGCCCTAACTTGATCAAAATTATTAAATCCAGTCGCGTCTCGAGCGGGATTCGAACGAATATTTGTGATAAAACTATACTAAGTGACATATAAATCCGAACACCCAGTTTAAATGGTTGTATTTTAATAAAAGTTGGTGAATGTATTTATCTTACTGTAAATAACAAGTGAAAAAAATTTCAGCCTTATCAGTTGGACATTCCGGTTTTTATACTGCTTTTTTTAAATTCACTAACGCTCTAAAAATGAATATTTCAGCCGCAGTAAAGAATCAACGTTGGCGGATTTTGGTTCTTGACATCCTTTACGATCGGTTACGATACCTAGAGTACGGAGACCTGTACGATTTCGTCAACTTAGTGAGTTTGATAGGGGCCGTATAGTGGGACTTCGGGAAGCTGGACTTTCTTTTCGGGCAATTGCAGTTAGAGTGCAAAGAAGTGTAGGCACTGTGCTTAGGTGTTGTCAGGCATGGCTTCGAGAAGGCCGTACGCAAAGAGCAAGGGGCACTGGACGCCGCCGTAGAACAACAGACTGTGAAGATCGCCGCCTAAGATTATTGGCCTTAAGGGACCGTTTCTCCACTACCAGGTCCATTGCAAATGAATGGTTTGCAGAACACGGAAGACCTATTGGCATGCGAAGTGTTTACCGACGAATGAGAAGTTTTGGCTTGTTTTCATACCGGCCACACTGGGTCCTCCCTTTAACTCGAGAACACCGACGTAATCGCCTTGAGTGGTGCAGACAACGGTCACTCTGGGATCAGGAATGGAAAAGTATTGTCTTTAGTGACGAGTCTCGATTTTGTTTAGGCATGCACGATGGTCGTGCCAGGGTTGGAAGGCGACGTGGTGAAAGGAGGAATCCACAGTTTTTTGTTGAAAGACATGTTCATCACACTGTTGGAGTTATGGTTTGGGGTGCTATAGCTTATGGTCCCAGGTCACCTTTAATCTTCATCAGAGGTAACATGAACGCACTTCGAGAGGAGTTGGTGGTTGCCTGGAATGAGATACCACAGGAGGACATTGACCACCTGATCAGAAGCATGCCTAGGCGCGTTGGAGAATGCGTAGCACATCAGGGTTCATCCACACATTATTAAAGGTCAAAGGGCTTTAAAGCAGTGCAATCATTTTGAAATTTTTATCATTACTTATTATGCTTCATTAAGTACTTATACAAAATTTTATTAAAATAAAACCATTTAAACTGGGTGTTCGGATTTATATGTCACTTAGTATAGTTATGCCATATGCCATATTTTTGTGCAATTCTTATTATGTGGTTGTGTGTAGTTAATCCACGTATTACAAAATAAGTAGGTATGACGCATCACCTGCAAAACATTTTCGCACTGCCTCACGTATAGGCGCCGATTTGTATTCTCTACTTGACATTGTAAAATGAAATTTAATGAAAATTAAATTGAAACTTAATGACTTTTTTACGTTTCATAAATATTCCTGTATGTACCATATTTTCTTACCTGTTACTTTTCACCAACCAGGGGTTTATTTTTCTTAACTCTCTCATTTTTTAACTTCAGCAAATTTGCAAATCTAATTTCCAGAATTAATAAGAAAAAGTGGTGCACGCAGCCAATTTCTAGATTTGAATGAATGTCTAGGAAGTTTATTTGAGACAAAAAACCCATGGAATTATGATCAACACAGATTTAGCACACAAATCCTCACTAGGCACCTATTCATTGCCGTTTCCTTCTAGCAATAGTATACAACACACAGCTTAGACCTCCAGTAATGCCATCTCTGAAGCAGATGTTACATCACATTGAAAGCTGAATCATCTTGACGTTTAGGCAACACGTACAGCTATGGAACGAGTACACATCAAATGTACAACAGCTAGTGCTACGTCGACATCTTGTTGAAAATGTCAAAAAACGATATACTAGCAAGATACGTAGTACCTTTTTTTCTGACCACCTCGTACTTGCGTCTACATTTGTTATCCGGGCCTAATTATCAAAAAACTATAAGTTTATGATGACATTAATTAAACCATATAGACATGACAAGATTAATACGTAATAAAAATTGTTTATAAATGCCTAGACACCAGTCATGATACATCTAGTATCTTTGTAGGCCTTTCGTATATTATTTTAAATACATAAATGTGATATACAGATAATATACGATTAGGTAATATGTTATGAAAGGGCGCTTAAAATAGCATTAGATTAACTATTAGTGATGCGTAGTACGAATTCGGTGTAAATAAAAGACCGGCCTGAGTTTAGGTCGAAACACATACAGGGTGGCGCATCGAAAACGAAACAGACGCAGCTCAGTTGTTTTTTTGAAAAACGCTCAGACCCGTCGACTTTGTTTTCGAGGAAGACACAAGTTTGGCAAAAAAATCACGTTAGCACCACCCCCAAAATCTTAAATGGGGGCCGAGTAATACCTTATTTTAAAGGTATTTCAATTTCCTTTATAATGATATAAAATTAATGTACTTCAGTTCAGTAGTTTTGAAGATTTATTGATTTAAAGCTTAAATAAAACTAATACAGTGGACACAGTCTCCAATTTGCGGGTACTTAACGTAGGATCTACAAAAACTTGCCTTAAAACCCCCACTTCTATTGCATCGTTCCTTATGGAATTTCAATGTTGCGTTTTTTTTATTGGCGACTGACCCAGTTTTCCGAAATTTAGCTACAAGTTCTAGAACACATTTTCGATGTTACTGTTTTCATGTCGCTCATTAAATATTTCTGCTGTTCTATTAGCGCACTGATTATTTCCGAAAAATATTTCGATAATTTCATATTTTAACATACCATGGTTAATTTATGTAATAAAGCGTTATAGGTTATTTTAGCAACAAAGTTTGGTCAAAACAATCGCAAACTGTGTACTAAATTCCTATTTAAAATAAGTACGAGATATTTCCTTATCTTTCTTCAAGAAATAACTTTTTTGCCACAAAAAAAAACGCTCTCATAGCTATTTTCAACAACAAAATGATAAACAAACCATTGGCGTAGTGAAGAAAAGCACTTACTTATTAAGTAAATTCTTTTAGTCAAATTTCTTGTGAAAGTAGTACAAACTAATCTGATGTACCTACTAAAGTCTACCTTAAGCTTTAAATCAATAAATCTCCAAAACTATTAAACTGAAGCTCATGTATTTTACGTTATTATAAAGAGAATTGAAAGACCTTTAAAATAAGGTATCACTCGACCCCCCTTTCCATTTAAGATTTTAGGGTTGGTGTCACCCCCGCCCAGGGGGCTCCACGTGTCAACGTGAATTTTTGGCCAAACTTGTGTCCCCCTCGAAAACAAAATCGACGGGTCTAAGCGTTTTTCCAAAAAAATAAGCTGCCAGTAAATGCGTCTGTTTCGTTTTCGTTGCGCCACCCTGTATATAAACATGGGCCTGATTCTAATAAAATTTCAACAGTTGAAAGTATGGTGCTATCGCCCAAAGCCTTTGTCTGAAAGCGTAACTGAAAATAATGTGCATTCTGTTCTTTCTCTGCTGTTTATTATTTCCGTTCTTAATCACTTCATAAACGCAAATGACACAACCCCCTGAAAGTAGGCAACCCACACTACTTGCCGCCCCTCACGAGACGTGATCCTAGATCCGCGCCTCAATGCTGTTCCCTAACCTTATTGAAAATAAAATCATTATTATGATTTGAAGTATGCCTTTCCATGTCCTTATTTGTTAGCGCTTTTCTGAGAATCCTACAATGACCTCACCGTTACTCAATACCTTCCACATCTGCACTTACAAAAGCACAATAACAC